CTATTCATTTCAAAATCTTGTAATTTGCAATATATAAAGACATTGTATCGACACTTTACATATTGAATTGCCATTAGAACTTTTGGAATAGAACATTAAATGTCAAAATTCAATATAACATTACACTTTGACAAATACAAATACAAATAAATACTAAATTAACATAATGCATAGCCATTTGACAAATGAATGAAAATGAAAAGCTACTTCAGTTAAAAATGTAAATGTGTGCAGTTGATACATTTCATGAAGAGTAACGGAGCCCTGGGTTAGTTGTTGCCGCTGCAGCAGGGTCTGAGGACAGTGGTGATGATCCAGGACATTTAATGACATTTATAAACATTTATGGACATCGCTCATCCACCCACTACGGACCAATGTCTTCTATGTGTTTTATATCTTTGCATTTCCTGTGTTTGAACTGTTGGCGAATCGACAGCTATATTATAGTTTTAACTTTGACAATGCAAGACAAACTTGGAGGACATATCATTAAATAAGGATATTACATTATAGGTGTCTTTAAATTTAAATTCTCACTTGGAGCGAATCAAAGCTGGACTAAAGCTAAGTATTGTGGAAAATTGTGGAAAATTTACGTTTTTAATAGATAGATGGATAGATAGATACTTTATTGATCCCTGTTCCCATTCATTTAAATAGCAAGAAATGGTGTCCAGTTTGCGGACGGGAAAAGGTCCGAGGGCCACATGAAACCGTGAACTGGACCTCATGTGCTCTCGGGCCCTACTTTCCCCAGTCTCCATAATCAGTCTCTGTTGATTGTTTGTTGACTGGTGTAATTGAGGACCTCCCACTGTGACACCAGATAGTCGCACGTCTGCAGCGGTGGGTAAAGGTCAGACACAGTCATTAGCTGTTCTGACGCCGGTTTTCCGACCGCTCTCGTTCTCGTGGACCCCCGTGGAGCCGGTTCCTGATTGGCTGTTGGTGAGATGAGCTATAGCGCTAATAGCCGCTGAAGGCCCATGACGCCACACCCCGGGAGAACCGAAGCAAGACCTCGGGTGTGAGCGCACTGAGCGATATTCACTTGAACGTCCTCCTTCGTATGCATGAGCCTGATATTAATTATGACCTATTCAAGCCGCGTTAGCTTCGTTAACCGACCGATGCGCAGCCATTGGCCCAGACATCATATGCTGAGGAGATGTCTCAAGAGATTGGGGATAGTCCACAGTGAATAAGGCCAACTGGAGTCTCACAGTTAATTCAGAAATATATTTTGAAATACTTTGTCCCAGACCCTCCAGCTGCTAACGTGTACAGATGTATACATACAACTATATACAGTACTTCTTGCGCCAGAATATATATACAGTACATGCTTCTTTATTATTGCACAGTTAGAGATTTTATACTTACTCCTTTATTATGATTAAGTCAAAGATTTTATTCTGAATTATTGCTTCTTTATTTGGCTTAAGTTGTAGATGTTATACGTGCTTGTTTATTACACTAAAGCTACACTTCCAAAAAAGAGGAAATATAGACTAGTATTGTTCACTCGGTATTTATCTAATCACAGTTTTTTTAAACACTTTTTTACTCATGCAAGCTAAAGATATATAATATTACTTGTTTTTAAAGTGTGACCAAACATCCTCCCTTTATGCTCCTTGTAAATGGAACACTCTGCCCGATGACCATATCTTGCTTCAGACTATCGATTGTGTCTCTCTTCGTCAAATGGTTCGTTGTGATTGTTAGTCCAGTGTTTTGCAACCTTTTCTGAGCCAAGGCACACTTTTTTCATTGACCAAATCTCATGGCACAGCACCAGGGGAAAATGTAGAAGTATATACTCTGTAGCCTATATTCACAATATAAAGTCATTCTCATCAAAGTGCTTAGATAGACATTCAAGGCCTTGACATTGAGCTTTGTTAAATATTTCTCTATAGAATGAGTAAACAGGAGTTTGGGAATAAAGTGGCACTAAATGTGTGGAAAAAACATTTAAAAAAATCCACTCACAGCTGTCCGCAAGTCCATGGTTCTGTCCACACGCCTGTCCCATAGACTGTAAATATTAACGGACGTAGTCACACCTATCTCCGCCGCGGGGGGCTGGAAAATGTGAAAAAATGCATCTGCGCACGCGTCAGCCGGCACGAGCCCCATTCATTTAAACGAGGGTCTTCAAAAATTCACTCCCCTCAGCATTGACACACATGTGGAACGGAGCTTTGGGCCAAGAGCCAACTTTTGGACCATCCTGTAAAGACGTTTTCGAGAGGTAAGAAGATGCTATATGTTAGCATTGGCTAATTCTTATTCCGGGTCCACCCCCATCGGTCCGGGGTGGTATTGCAAGCATGTCAGCGCACGTCATTTTGGCCACTTTTGAGCTGGGACCCGCCCCCACTGGTCTGTCCACGCGTCTACGGTACTACGGATGTGCGTTGTCAAAGCGGCTGTCAGTACAACGCGGCCACAGCTGCCCCGGGGACAGAACGGAGGATGTGAATCCTGTTCAAAAATGGCATAATTCCTTTTCAAAAACATCCCAATCACTTTCACTTCTCATGACCTACAATGTTCCTCGCGACTTGTTACATTTGTTGGTCGCGTCAAATTCTTATGTTTCTTGCCACAATGCTCCTGTTACATCCCGTGGTTGCGTCCAATTCTAACGTTTCAAAGTACTTAGCTATCTGCTGCCACCTACTGATATAAAAAAGTATTACGTGGTTACTCCACAGTTCAAAACAGGTCAGCCCTCGCCAACGGTGGATGCATTTATTTTTAGACAAAAAGACTGAGTTTTAGTCTACGTTATCACCAGGACTCCCAGAAGTATGTAAATGATGGGTTCTCCACCATGTTTTCAAAGTTTGTCAATAATAAGGTTGTTTTTAATTTATTTGTTTACCTTTACTCACTTTAACTACGTGCTAAAACTGTTGAATGTAACTTGAAATACAGAAAAAACAGACAACAAAGCTGATGCTAAAAGCTAAATGCTAATTGCTGACAGTAAACAGTGGGTTGCTATGGTAATTTGAACTCTCTCATCTCTGGTGGAAAACCAAGCAGAACCAGTACCAGTCCAGAATCAGCACCTTGAAGAAAAGGGCTTTAACTGCACTGAAAATCACAGTATGATAAGAAACCCTTGTTTATTTATTTTTAGTTTTTTAGTTTTTTTTTACTTTCTAGGTGATTTGTTCGACACAAACAACTTCTGTAATTGAACATGTAAACTTTACTCAAAGAGACTGATCCATTGTGACTCACAGTCCTTTAGTAAATCTGATTTTACCTCAAAATATTGTGTAACCTCAACATTTGAATCTTGCACACGCCCGGAGCAGTTGGTGCCGACATCACTTCCTGAAATGCTTCTGGGTAAGAAAAGTTTGTCTGCACCATGAGGGACCGCAAAGGGACCGTGAAGTGCGGTGAGAGGCTGTGAGGGGCTGTGAGGAACAGTGAGGGCCTGTGCTCACTCTGGTCAAAGATAGACATGTGCTCTAATGGTAGAGTTCATAGGTATCAGGACTTCAACACTTTTTTCTTTAACTTTGAACATATTATTAGATGGATTCACCAAATGACACCAAATCAAACCTGTCAGGACTCAAAGGTGTTATTCAGGCCCTGCACTGTTCAGAGATCTGGATTTAAAATGAATGAATTGACACATCATAAGAGGTGTAGCTCTGTACTTCCAGGTCCACAACCACAACACCTCCCAGGGTCACAGCCTCTGTGTCCCGCAACAGAAAGGCTTTGTAAGGTTTTCTGATCACAATTTACAGTGTGCCAGAGAAAGAAAAAAACAAAAATGGCTATACATTTTTATCTTAGTTAAAAGTAGAACAAGAATTTCATAACAAAACAATGACGTAGAAATTAGACACAGAAAAATAAGACCACATAAAGACCACAAATGTTTGAGTAATTACACTTCCGTCATGAACATGCGTTGTATAAAAAGATATCCCATCCATCTTGTTCTTCCTCTTGTCTTAATCCATTTCTGGGTCGGGGGGGTGGCAGTCAGAGTTGCACCCAGTACACAGAGCACCAGCCCCTCACTGATCCTCCTGAGATCTTTCAGCGGAGGCTTCAGGCAAATTGGGGTTAAGTGTCTTGCCCAACTACAGCAGTCATCAGTGGGAGCAGTTGGAGTAGGTCTCATGGGGGATTGAACCCACAACCTTCAGGCTCAAAGGCCAATGCTCTACCATAATTGTATGTTTTTAAATGTGAAGCGCTTTGTGATCCTGGTCTGTGAAAGGCGTTATACAAATAAACTTTACTTATCAACTGAGCCACTGTCGCCCCTAAATAAATATACATCCTTTCTCTTATCACAGGTTCAAGCAACAACACATCACCATCAGAGTAAAACATCAGCAGGAGTTCATAGAAATACAAAGTTCAAACTGAAACCTGGCCATAATATATTACTGTTATGTATGTACTGTATATATATCTTTATTTTACTGCATATGATAATAGCTTTATGACCAGAACCTGCAGAGGACATGATTATGGAAATGAAACCTCTGCACACTTTATCACAGCAGTAGCTTAAGTAAAGAACAGTGTGTACCAGAGAAATGGGGCTTTTGGAATAATTGCTGTGTAAATGACTCGCACATGTGAACGCCATTAAAAACATATCAGTGTCTGTTGTTTACTCTGTGGCTCAAGCTAACCCTTCAGACGTAAAACCAGGTCTGGAATAGTCTTTTATAAGCCGCTTGAGGGAGTTTGCGATTTCATCAGTTCCTCTGTCTGCTTCTTGAACTGGAAGAAAAGGGAAAAAAAGTACATTTACTAAGTCTCCACCTTTAGACACTTACACTGACCAAGAAGTTTCAGAAAATAGCTCTAAACTAAGACTAGAATCTGACTTTAGTTACCAGTTTATTGCCTCTCTCTCCTCTCCCCCCTCTCACCCTTCTGTTCCCTCTCTCTCCTCTCTCCTTACTATCCCCACTATTTTGACGTCATTTGAACATAACCTATCGCCGTGTGGTTTGTGGACTTGCCTCTGCGTCCTCTCCAAAGAACCTGTACTTGTATCCACACTCGATGGCCAGCAGGACCCCAGGATGCCTCTGCTGCAGCTCCGTCACCTGCTGCTCCAGGGGGGTCAGCACAGGTCTGGGGCGTCTGGACGGAGAGGCGCAGGGGACGGGGAGAGGGACGGGGACGGGGCCTTTTCTGTCCAGTCCAGGCCGAGCAAACTGAGAGAAGGAAGGCTGCGAACGCACAACAACGCACAACAATCACATATTCTAAAAGAAGTCTGTCAATCACAATCAGAAGAAAACTCACAATATTTCTGAACAATCTACAACGTGGACTTGGGGTCGACCAAATATCGGCCAATATCAATATTTTGTATGAGCCAATATGTTGATTTTTGTATTTCATCTATGTCTATTAGTCCAGTCCAAACAACAATAACACAACTCAACTAAACAAACAGATTAACACAACATATATGTGTGTGTGTGGGTTATATTGCTTCCTGTTCTTTTTGAAAAGAGAATAAAAGGCATTTGATTAAAAAAAGAGGAGAAGTCTCATAGTTCTAATCTTAGAGGAGTGCTGCCCCTAGAGGTGAAAGCAGGGTGTTGCATGAATTCATTTGATTGGGCACTTGACAGACTTGGACACTGAGACAGAGGTCAGTGTGTGTGTTGTGTGAAGAGGATTGTTGTAGGAAGTTGTTTTGACACTTCAATAAAAATGCGTTCCTTCATCCGCTCACACATTATTGACCATTGAGGAACCAGGATCCAGGACACGGTCTATTTGCCTCAAACATTTCCCTACTTTTTTCTTACACTTTTTCTTGTGTTTATTTCTGTTATGGATTTGAGTGGTCCTTTATCCCTTATGAAGTTTCAGGGCTTCTCCTTCTGTCTGCTGCACATCCATCTCTGCCGCCTAAAGGGTTAACAGGTCGAATACGATGCATTATTTGTGTGGGAAAGCGGGAAATCTCTGCACATCGGACTTTTGACGAGTGTAAGAGGATCACACACAGCTCAGACAACGTGTGAAAAGAAGAAATCTCTTTAGACGTGCATACAACAGAATTACAGCATCTCTTTTTAATGCACTGTTTTGTTTTGTGTATTAAGAACCTCATTGGTCTCCTCAAAATCATCAAATGCTTATATACATACATTTTTACACAGTCATCCTCTCTTTCACACACACACACACACACACACACAAAAACACGACCTGAAAGCTCAATGGGGAATAAAATTACAAACTATATAAAAATATTAACATGAAACACACATTGACAAAAACACATGATTCATACATGTATCTATATACCGTGATTATTCATGATTTTGATGCCCTGTATAATTGTTTTTTGTGTTTTGTTATGCACTTTGCGTTTCCTTGTGTATAAACTGTGCCACACAAATAAACTTGGAATGTATTTTGGTTAAAGAAATGAGGCACAATTAGTGTCAGACTTCAGCCATACACTTTCCGTCTTTAAACATTTATCGATCCATTTATTTTGGACACACAACCTTTCTTTGTCTGTTTGAAAGTGTCTTGTTGACAAATGACCAAAAAAATAATGAACTAAACTCAAGTATATTTCCTCACTTGCACCAGACTTGTATCGTCGTCCTCTGCATCTTCTGTGTCTTCAGTGAGATCTGTGTGATCCGTGTTACTCTGTTTGGTTTGTAGAAATGTAGAAATCTCATGATCCTTCTCTAAAACAGCAGCAGCATCATCGCAGGAAAAACCTCTTAGTTTCTCCAAGGTGGATGTGCGTATGGCTCCATCAGAGTGACACTTCCCACCTGAAATGGAAAAAGTAGTCTGAACTTGTCCGGGTTTACAGTGCAAGTCCTTCTAAAATGAAAAAAAAAAATGAAAAAAAGGCCATGCCCAGTGACAGCTCCAAAACGTCACTGTTCTAGACGAGATCTGCATGGAGGAATGGGCCAAAATACCAGCAACTGTGCAAATATATGGCTCTTTTTTAGACACTCAAAATGCTTCACATGTCATTATTCTTTCACTCCATACACAGAGGTGATAAACCACTACAGTAGCCACAGCTGCCCTGGGGCACACTGACAGAAGCGAGGCAACCAGTATGTGCCATCGGCCCCTCCGACCAGCACCAACCATTCACACACACACCAGACTCATTCTAGGCAATGTGGGTGAAGTGTCTTGCCTAAGGACACAACAACAGTGTGGCACTTTACAGCCGCAGCCGCCCCACTGTGGTACCTGGTGTTCCCAGAGGTCTCCCATCACAGTACTAACCAGGCCCTGTCCCGCTGACGGGATCTGGCTTTTCACATGCAGGTATTTGCAGAATAAAGTTCGGCCCCTGTCATTACCAACAAAGTATGTAAGTAAGTAATCTTAATTTATCCAGTCCTTTCACAGACCAGAGTCACAAAGCACGTTACAATTGTTGTGGGCATTTGTCCCTCACTCCACACAGAGATGGGAGCGGGGTGACATAATGAATTATTGGAATGGACTTTTGTCACTGACTAAATACTTTTTTTTCCTCATAAAAACCAAATCAATTCTTTTAAAAACAGATACAGTGATTTTCTGGGTTCTGTAGACAGCACCTGCAGACGTTGACTTCTCCTCGTGTTTTCTGGAGGAGAGTTTGGGCCGTTTAGATGGAGCTCCTTCTGCACCTTTATTATTACTGTCAGACTTGGTGAAGAAGAAGGAGGAGGAGGAGGAGGAGGAAGAGGAGGGGCGCTTGTGCTGCGGGTCAGAGAGAGGAGATATATTTATACCATTATATTAGGAGCAAGAAGATTAAGAGATCCTTTATTCGTCCCACGGTGGGGAAATATCTATTATCTATACGTCTGTAGATAAAACTAACACACTCTAGAGCAGTCAAATACAAAGGGCCAAAACAACTAATTTGTTACAAGCCAAGGGCCGGGTTCAATGTTTATTAAAATGATTGCATATAACCTATTGAACCAAGACCTAACACAATGTACCGTATTTATCAATTATTAAATGTATAATCCAATATTTTTGTACGGCTCTGTCAGTCATTTCATTTTTCCACAGGTTCACACACAAAAACAAACTTCCTTGAAAGAAAAAAAAACACATGTCCTGATCATTCAATGAATAATCCAATATTTTCTTATGGCTCTGTTCTTATACTAAACAAATATCATCCCGGGGACCAAGACAATTCATTCCTTGACTTTGACACCCATGCTCAAGAATACTGAAGTAATATCCTTCAAACATTCACAGTGATGATACTACTGCACATGTTAGCACCATGGTATACTACTGCACATTATTTAGATTAGATTAGATTACTTATTTTGAACCTGCACAACATATATCTTCTCATACATCAATATAACAGACAAATTACATGTTCATAGTTCTTAAAGGGGTTGGATGAAGTAAATACCTATATGCATGTTAGCAGGCTCTGGGCTAAAGTGACTGAGTAAAGTGAGAGTGGACACATGTGGATCTATCTTGCACATTCTGACAGTCTTCATTGTTCATTGTACAGTCTGACAGCAGCAGATGGTCACACCTCCCCACTGCACGCCCCAGTGTTTACAAACCTGGTTCTTCCCGGTGCGTGTCTGTGGGTCAGTGTGGTCGGTGTGTTTGTCGTTGGACCCGGTGGAAGACTCTCTGCTCTTGGATCCGAAATAAGCGCTGATAGTGCTCTGCGCGCTGCACGACTTTCTCACAAACTTGGGCATTTTTAACTCATGAAGCGAAGTTTGACGTGATTATCTCATGCAGACGCAGCGGACACGGGTTTGTGCAGCTCAAACACAAACTTTGTGTTGAGAGTCTGAAATGTAAGAGATAATACCGGGATTCTCAGTGTGCAGTGCAGAGCAGCGTGGAGGGTTGCGTGATGACGTAGCGCGGTCTGTGGTGAGGGCACGTGCTTCACTATCGCCATCTCCTGTTTGGGTGCTCCTACTGTCTGTGGCACTCATGCCATGGATCAATTTGAATTGCAAAGTTCAAACAATACAGTCTATGGTTCAAACCCAAGGGACAATGCAACTCAAAGAGCAAAACAACTAGATGGAAACATTAAAACCAAACTCATAAATAATCACTCAATCATAGTTATAGTTCTATAATTACACAAAAAGCACTGAACTACATTATATATATACAATTATTTTTAAATAGAAGCATTAGTTACAAACCCATGTAACTTGCTGTGTTCCACAGACTCTTCACGGTCTTCAATCTTTAATTTACAATAAAATATCAAACATTTCCTATTTTAAAGTAAACTTTACCAAGACCTTTCTGATCTACTGCCATCAACTGAGACTTATACATGTGTCTCATGACAATTATCCACAATTATCCAGTCACAAAGATGAGCCTCACGCTCACATTCTTCTGTTTCAAGGTCGATGTTTTCATTGTTGAACCTTTTTACAATAATCCCACAATATTTTCACTTGAATTCAGTCAAAGCAGATTGTTGTGCAATAGTTGGCCTACATGACACAACTCATTTAGTTAATCCAGTGCTTAAAGCTGGGGTACCTAACTTTTGTCCATCATAATATGAGATTTCATAACACTTTGAAGCAACTTTTGTTAAAGTTAAACTCATCATTCTATCAATGTGCAGAAGCCAGTACTTTTCCCTTGTTGTGTCTATCTGAAGGCCAAGCTACATGGCACCGTGGAAGCTGCTGATTGGAGGACTCCATGCCTCCGCTCTGTATAATACACTTGCATTCTCTTGTATCTGTGATCGTGTGCTTTGTTCGTGCTGTCTCTACCATCGACAATAAAACATGTCTTCTGTCTGAATTAAAGACGCGATCCCAGACTATGTCATCTTCTTCAGGTGGTGGAAGGATGCGGGCATTGTCTGTAACATCTACAGAACAGAAGACTACTTTTTTTTTTTACACAAAAAGTGTTTTTTTTTCAAGCCGAAACTGAAAAACCTCAAGAGAAACCATGCATCTGGATCAGCACATGGACAATCTGCACAGCCCCTGATTCCACTCAGGCTGTGAGCTGCTGAGACATGGACAATACCATCGTCCTCTTTTGGATGGACATCATTTGGAACAATTGGATTACACAATTTGGACATAATTTGGAACAATCTGGATTTCTGAATTTGGACATAATTTGGACTGAATTGGATTGCTGAATCTGGACACTGAAGCTGAAACGTGTGATTGAAAGACACGTCACAGAAGAATTCATGGCTCGACACAACAAATGCAGCCTGAAGAATCCAACACGGAGAAGTGGGAGAGACTGTTTTCAAAGCAATATCTGGAACCACCATCGACTGATGAAGTTTGGTATTTTACTGAAGATTGTTGACAAGTTTTATGAAAGATCTGAACATGTTTTATGAGTTTTCTGAGTTTTTGAAGTATTCTGAGTTCTGAGTTTTTTGAAGTACAGAGTTTATGAGTTTTTGAAGTATTGAGTTATGATGTTATGTTGCTGTTTATCGATCCTGATGGTCACACGTGAATGTATGACCAGAGGGGGGAATATGAGATTTCATAACACTTTGAAGCAACTTTTGTTAAAGTTAAACTCATCATTCTATCAATGTGCAGAAGCCAGTACTTTTCCCTTGTTGTGTCTATCTGAAGGCCAAGCTACATGGCACCGTGGAAGCTGCTGATTGGAGGTCTCCATGCCTCCGCTCTGTATAATACACTTGCATTCTCTTGTATCTGTGATCGTGTGCTTTGTTCGTGCTGTCTCTACCATCGACAATAAAACATGTCTTCTGTCTGAATTAAAGACGCGATCCCAGACTATGTCATCTTCTTCAATAAATTACCAATACAAACAGTCTTGTTTGTTCATCAGTACTGAAGTGCCCTGTGAGTCACAATTTGACACTTTGGGCTGAGAGCTTATTGAGCCAGAGACATGGATTATAAATATTTCCACTGTTTAAAGTTACATTCCCCAGCTTTAAACTTGCATCAGCAGAGATATGGATGCTGCTGTATTTTAAATGGCTTCTGTTCTTACTAACACATCACAGGCTAATCATTCCAGATGGACATAATAAAACCAGGCTCTCCACAGTTAGTAGTTTTGCCACATGTTTAAAGCTCATGTTAATCTGCCTGTGCCTTTAAAGGGGTTGGGGACTAGAGTGTATTCAGGTCACACAAAAGAGAGGAAGTGCTGGGAGGCTCTGGAAGTTCAAAGTTCTTTCAGTTCCTCTGCTTTCTGTCCAGGATGAAGCTCTTTGTGGGACTCATTCTTCTTCTAAACATTTCCATCGGTGAGATCCATTGTCTTGCTCTTTTCATTGTTCTGCTTTTGACACTGTGGTACATTCTGTGCTCCTTTTGATTCTAGTAGGAACTTATGCAAAACAAAAAAGCTCAAACTGGAATAGAAAGCTCAATTCCGATGTATATTGTATTTATTTGACAAGCTGCACGTGCAGAGGTTGTGTTTTAGATATTGGGGTTTTGGACTGTCGTGGATATGCACTTGGATATTAAAAGTTAGAAAAGGGAGGCAGATTCTCACAGTGTTGACATGTGTAATCAGATGAGTATTGGAATCTCCCTGACGTTTATAAAGAAACTCATTTTTTTATTTCCATAGCTATTCACTGTTAATTTGCTGTGTTATTATTGTCAGAACTCTTTAATGGACCTATATTTACCCTTGACATAAGAAAAGATGTGAGATTATGTGATTATTTCCTAAATTAACTGCTGAAAACTTGGTCTTTTAATACTTTGTTGTGTCATCTTCATTAGTTCGCACTTTTTCATAACACATCCAGCATAACGAGACACATTTTAATTTATTTTCCCCCCACTGTGCTCCCCTTGTGTCAAAAAAGGGTAAAACAAAACAAAGCAAAACAAACACATAAATAAGTAAATTGTATAAAAAGAAAAATAATTATAAAAAACTGCTGCACATTAAACTAGTTATATGTAATTAAATGAGACGTGTAGACCGGTAATTATATACATGTATATATATATATGTGTACGTATGTATGTATTTATAATTATTTTCTCCCCTATTAGTGATGTGCTAAAGAAAACTTGAGAAGATAAATGTTAGAAAAATGAAATATATAATATAAAAATGACAAACTATGGCCTTTACTTGAAAATATACATTGCAAAAGCAGATGTGTATTTAAGTGCTATTTAAATAATATTTCACCCCTTGTTGAGCATATCCTTAAATACAACTTTGACACATTTTCAAAACTCTTCAATTCTAAAATCACCAACTTTAGCATTATGAGGAAGCAGGAACTAGGTATGAGATCTCTGACTTTAGATAAGAGGCATGTGTGTAGCAAAATATGTTGAAAATCGAAGCCTGAGACAAACTTTTTTGATAGATAATTGTTTATTTTCCGATGATCTCATCTGTTGTGACTTGTGACTTCAGACCAAACTAAGAGGAAGAGGAACCAAGAGGAACTAGTGTCTCACCATGTACTCACGCTGTTTGTTTTCCAGCTTCTGCTTTGAGATGCTACACTTGCACTTTGACCGACCCCGGATCTTGCACCGACACCAAGTCCTGCCCCGTGATTTTCAACCGCTGCTTCTCCCTGAGAGCTGAAGGTGACGAGAACCACGAACCAGATACAGAGATACAGAGATATACAGAGATATACAGAGATATACAGAGATATACAGAGATATAGAGAGATACAGAGACTTAGTGGGTTTGACACACATTTGTGGTTTAGTTTTTACTCTTGTTTATTAGAAGGATTTAAGCTTTTCAGGGTTTTTTTTTTTTTTTTTGCCTTTTAGAAAAAAAACGCCTCTTCTGATTCAGCTCATTTCAATTCAATATATTTTTGTAAAACCCCAAATCACAACAACAGTAGTCACAAAAAATGAGGATTTAAAGCCAGAACTAAAAGAAAGTTTGGAGAGACGTTTGAAATAAGTTATTGTCCTTAAATTAATTATGGTTAAAGTCCATCAGCCTCTGACGGACCACAACTCTTTGAACAGAACTGAGACCGTTTGGGCTTGGGTCATGTTTGGTCCCTGTTACGACCTGGCTCAGCTTAGGTGTATAAGGAAGTAACAGAAACAACCAAGATGTCCAAATGGTAACTAACTTCTCCCAGTGGCAGGAGACTCATCCTCCTTCCTTTTCTTCACCTGGCCGCTCATATCACACTCTGCTAGCGTGGCCTCGCAGCTCTCTCTGGATAAGAACTCAGTGACACATAAAGTCCTCGGAATGTCATCCTGGAGTTGGTCAAACCCTCTGTGCATAGGTGCTTAAAAGACCTTTGGTGGAGCAATAGAAATACCTGGTAGACCCCGGGCTGGTAAAACCGTGGATTGGAGGCTGCCACGCGCCTCATATTTTGGTTTTTTGGCTGCCACAAGACAGGCATTTCTTTTGTGTTGGGTTTATTTTCTGGAGGCTGGCTGCTGGCATTTCCAAGATCCGCTGCACAACCTTCCTCATGGCCTCCACAGACAGCAGTGCCCTGAGAGTCAGATCAGGAGGAGGGGGGTTCACTGCTGCAGGGGCCATGGTGACCAGCAGGGCGCTGTGCTTGTCTTACTGCCTGCTGTGAGCGATGTCCTCCCCTCCCCCAGCACTCAGCCTTGTCTGAAGGCATCACCTTCCTCTCACTCGCACCAGAGTGAGGGCGTTCTCCCTCAACCACCCTCCTCTCCTCCCCTCTGAGGAGCAACCAGCAACTCCCGTCATGGACGGGTCGTGCCCTGATCTACCTCGCCTCCTCCGAAGGGTCCTGCAAGCAAGGAATCCACGTGGTGCCCTTTGCAAAAATCACAGTGACGCGGACCAGGAAAGAATTAAAATGTCTACATATTGTCTGCAACAACAAAAAAAGATCATAAAAGTCATCAAGCTATAGCAGATAGAGAAAAATAAGTAAAATGTATAAAACTTTAGCATAATAAAGAATAAAAAATAACATTAGCATAATACAGAAGCATGAAATCCTGTATAATCTAGATGAAACATATACAGTTGTATGTTTGCATCTGGAACATAAGCAGCATGAGGCTCTGGGAATAACATAAGTAGAGTTATATGAAGGAAAATATGAACTGGAAAAACACTAATACATTGTCGTAAACTACAGCATAAATTCATTTTCAACACACAATGTGTTTGCTGAACTATAGAAATGTGAAATACATATAGAAAGTACACATCAACAATACTTAGCAATAATAATTAGCTAAGCCGCTGGAAATACTACGTACAACTATAAGTAAACAATCTGCATTACTGGTATACAACATAATACCGTAATACAGATTTGATTTGAACTACGCAGAGAAAGTTGTTTTCTTTACAATATGATCCCAAACAGAGAGATCTACGATGCAGCAGCCGCACCAAACCATATGACACGAAGTAAACACTCATAAACAGCGCACTACACACTCGAGATATTAAACTACAGACGTGGGTGAAAACGGAATCTACGCACAATATGAGAGATTTATGGAGTGAAACATAAAGAACGAGCACAAAAAACATTGTTTTAATCAGAGGAGACTTACCGATGCGTGTGTAAACCAGACTGATGGAGAAAGCCGGCTCCTCTCTGTTTTGAGATCAGCGCGCACGAAAGTTTTTCCCCATAGAACTTTTGGGATGTGAGACCGCCTGGAATACCAGGTGCTGAAGCAAATTTGCCCCTGTAGCTTCGGTGCCTGGGGCGAGCTCAACAACAGGCGCGAGTTGTTTTGTTGTGTAGTTTAGTTGAGTTGAGTGGCAGTTGGAGTTGAGTGCAGCTCTCACCACTCATCCATTTCCGTAGCATATCAAACAAAATAATGGAAGTTGTTTTAGTAGTGTTTGTTTCCCCGCATATAAAAGAAAGGGTGAATATTTCATTAGTAAATGTTTTGATTTTCCAATTTAATTTAGAAAATGAGAAATACAATAAAACAACCACGTAATTATTTGTTTTTTCAGATTTGATTTTGAAACGGAATAACAAATGATCGATAGGGTACACGGAATCCGTGTAACCCTTCGATCCATAGTTATTCCGTTTCAAAATAAAATTCATAAAAACAAATTTTTCCATTCGATATAGATGATTATTTCCTTTTCTTAATCAAATTGGAAATCAAATCCTTTATGCTTCAATATCAAGTCGTGTTTGTTTTTTGGCTCTATTGGTTTAAAATTCTCAAAAGAATTATGGCTTAAAACTATTATTCGTTTGTATTATTTATTTGCGACACCGGAAGAGAGAAGAGACCTCAGGCGGAAGGGTGGCTACAGACTCGGGGTGGGACCTCCCGGTCCCGGGGTACCTGCGGTGTGAATTTGACGCGCGTGTATAAAGGTACCAGAAAGTTATGGCCTTGGAAATCCACCGGTACCGAGCGTCTTACCATCCGCCCAATAGGCGCTCATTTTGGGGGAGAGGAGAAACCTCGGCTTCCATGGCTTGTCAAAAACGAACCAGGGTCTGAGAGACAGGGGGTTTTCACCCACGCACTTCCTCCGGTTCTGGGCCTATCACCGGTGAGGGCTTTGCTCCCGGCTCAGACCCAGGCCTGCTCGCGACAGTTCTGGTGAGGAGAGGACCGCAGCAGCAGGTCCAGAGGCACGCTACTGCATACCCCCGAGCTACGTCCATACCAAACCTGAAAGCCCCGATCTCGAAGCAGGCAAGTCGGGCCGCGGGGGCCCAGCCGCTATAGTGGGCAATCGTTGATTGCAACTTGAACTGAAACTCTATTTTCTATACAGATTGTTTTGTCAACATACTACTGTTTGCCCTGAAATATGATAATAAAAAGAAAGACTTCAATAAGGTATGACATTTATTATATAATTTATTGTGAACAGGATTAAAAAAGAGATATATACAAATTTAAGAAATAACAACTTAGAAGAAAAACAACAACATGCTTCTTTATCGTCTTAAACTAGTATTTGTGTGTGGAGTCCCTGTGACTGTGACAGCAGAAGCTGATCTCCTCTCAACAACCAACAAACGAGGAGGAGGAAAAGAGAAGAGAACACTCTCAGCAGTCACAGTCCACAGGGCTCATCACACAAATTACTAGTATAAGAAGATAAAGATAGCATGTTGTTGTTTTTCTTCTAAGTGAAGTTCTAAAATTTACATACTCTTTTTTCAGCTGTTCACAATAAATATATAAAAATGTCATACATGATTTGAAGTCCTTTCTTTTTATTGATCATATTTCAGGGCAAACAGTAGTATTTGACAAAACACTCTGTATAGAAAATAGAGTTTCAGTTCAG